TCTGTAATAGAAAAGTTTCCCCATTTCCAACAGGTTCTATGTAATAGAAAAGTTTCCCCATTTCCAAGAGGTTCTATGTAATAGAAAAGTTTCCCTACTTTCAAACAGGTTCTCTGTAATAGAAAAGTTTCCCTATTCCAAACAGGTTCTCTTTAATAGAAAATACTCCCCATTTCCAAACAGGTTCTCTGTAATAGAAAAGTTTCCCCATTTCCAAACAGGTTCTCTGTAATAGAAAAGTTTCCCCATTTCCAAACAGGTTCTCTGTAATAGAAAAGTTTCCCCATTTCCAACAGGTTCTATGTAATAGAAAAGTTTCCCTATTCCAAACAGGTTCTCTTTAATAGAAAATATTCCCCATTTCCAAACAGGTTCTCTGTAATAGAAAAGTTTCCCCATTTCCAAACAGGTTCTCTGTAATAGAAAAGTTTCTCCGTTTCCAACAGGTTCATGATAACTTTTTTTGTTAGTTACTTTATACGAATCTTTGTAAGCTTTAATTATAGATGGCACTAAACACACTAAGATGTCAAGTTCTATGCAAACATTACAGTATGCTTGATATTCTGTCCGGGATATTTCAAATAAATGGCGGTATAAACTGATCACTATTTCACAACGTACTTTTGGGTTTCTAGCTGCTACTTTACCTAACAGTCCAAAAGTTTTTGTTTTGTTTTTCAATAATTAGAGTCTTGCAATGGCGTCATCACCAGAAGAGCAGTTTAACACCTAACCCGTGAGTGTGACCAATAAACAACTCTCAGACTTTTCTTAGGGACAATCCTGAAATTAATCTCGCAAACTTTGACCACTACAAAAACCCAGTTTTTTAGCAAGTAATCATCAAACTAATTTTATACAAGAATGACCAATACAAAAACTCCAATTTTTTTATTTAATGAACAATTAAACTAACCTCACACAAGTTTGATAATTATACAGAAAAAGCTCAAAATTTTGTAGCCGACATCCATCAAGCTAACTTCACACAAATTTCATCACTGTATACGAACAAAACCCAGATTTTTCT